GCCGCCAGTAACCCTGGCGCCTTGCTCGACGCCGTAGATCTTGGCGCCGAGCTCGGCGCCAGGGTTACTGGCTCCAAGCCTGTCTTACGTATCGGCCACAATCCTTTCTATCTTCCTCTCCCACTCCCTCACACCTCCCTCGCCTCGGTCGAGCAGTGCACCGCCGCCACCGCCCGCGCCCTCTCCTGCCCCCGGTCGCCCATGCGCCCTCACCCGCGCCCAAGCCCCGCGGCCGTGCCGCGCCCTCACATCGCCCGACATGCCGCCCACGCCCACGGCCGCCTTGGCCGCGCCCCGCCGCGCACGGCGCCGTGGTCGCCGTGCTGTGGCCGCACCATGCCCACGTTGTGCCGCCCGCGCCCCGCCTGGTCCGCCGTGCCGCCCGCCACCGCCGGCCTTGGTCGCGCCCGCCGTGCCGGCCTTGCCGCGTGGAGCGCCGGTGAAAGCTCTAGTTTGGTTTTGGTGAATTAATGAAACCCTAAGTGCTAACCTAGTTTATCAAGTGATCATGAGATAGGTAGCACACTCTAAGTGGTGAAGCAAATGAAGATCATAGCATGATAAAGATGATGGCATGGTGATGATCAAGTGCTTCGACTTGGAAAAGAAGAAAGAGAAAAACAAAAAGCTCAAGACAAAGGTATAATTTGTAAGAGCTATTTTGTTTTGGTGATCAAGACACTTAGAGAGTGTGATCACATTTAGGATTGATAGTCGTACTATTAAGAGGGGTGAAACTCATATCGGAATGCGGTTATCAAAGTGCCACTAGATGCTCTAACTCATTGCATATGCATTTAGGATCTAGTGGAGTGCTAACACCCTTGAAAATGTTTGTGAAAATATGCTAACACATGTGCACAAGGTGATACTCTTGGTGGTTGGCACATTTGATCAAGGGTGGTGAAGTTTAGGTGCAAGGGTAAGAAACTCCACCGGTGGACAGTCCGACGGTGCCACCGGTGGCCTAGACAGAAAAGACGGAGGTCTCTGTCAGCGACCGGACGCTGGTCATTCAGCGACCGGACGCTAGTGGCTGCGTCCGGTGCTGTTGTCGGGCGGAGCAGCAGACATATACCTAGCGACCGGACGCTGGCTGTGTCCGGTCAAGCATGACCGGACGTGTCCATTCGGAAAAAATCACGTTTGGAACCTTACTGGAAACGACCGGACGCTGATGTCCAGCGTCCGGTCACTTTCTAACTGACGCGTCCGGTCAAGGCAGATGACCGTTGAAATCGATACACGTGGCTAACAGCGAGCGACCGGACGCTGGGGGCTCAGCGTCCGGTCAACTGACTGGAGCGTCTGGTCACCCTGTGTTTTACCCAGTGAAGGGGTACAATGGCTCTATTTCATGGGGGCTTCTATTTAAGCCCCATGGTCGGCTGTAGCTCATATCTTTGGCCATTTTCATTGACATAGCAACCTTATAAGTTTAGCCAAAGCCCTCCCACTCATTTGCATCATAGATTAAACATCTTTGTGAGATTGGGAATGATCCAAGTGCATTGCTTGAGTGATTGCATCTAGAGGCACTTGGTGATTGTGTTTCGCTGCGGATTTCGCTTGTTACTCTTGGTGGTTGCCGCCACCTAGACGGCTTGGAGCAGCGAGGATCGTTGAGCGAAGGGTGGTGATTGTCTCTAGCTCCGATCATGGTGATTGTGAGGGGTTCTTGACCTTTCCCGGGCGGAGCGCCAAAAGGTACTCTAGTGGATTGCTCGTGGCTTGTGTGATCCTCATCTTGTGTTGGTTGTGCGGCACCCTATTGAGGGTTTGGCGTGTGATGCCAATTAGCGCGTGAACCTCCAAGTGAGTGTATCGCCACAACGAGGAGTAGCTTGCCGGCAAGCAAGTGAACCTCGGTAAAAATATCATTGTGTTCATCATTGATTCCGAGGTGATTGGTCTTCATTGTTATACACACTTGTGATTGATTGGTTCATACATCTATACGGTGGTATAACCTTCTTGCCTACTCTTTACATTACCGCAAACTAGTTGTCAAGCTCTTTAGTGTAACTAGTTGTGAGAGCTTGTTAGTTTGGTTAGTGTGGCTCTTTAGTTAGTTTTTGAGAGCACACTAACTTAGTGTAGTGATATAGCTATTGTGTGGATATACTTCATCTAAACTAGAATTATGGTAGGTGGCTTCCATTTTGGTAGGCTAGCGCAAAACTCGCTTCGCCTCATAATTGTCTAATCCTTTTGTTAAGTGTTGTTGTAGAAATTTTATTAGGCTATCCACCCCTCCCTCTAGCCATTAGGACCTTTTAGCCAGGCATCCCGCTCCGGCCGCGTGCCACCGCCGTCCTCGGTCGCGCCCCCGCGGTCCCGTCACCTACAGCGCCCTGTCGTGCCACCGCCGGCCCGGCTCGTCGGCCTAACCCACGCACCGGCGTCCGCTGCGACTCTGCCGACGTCCGCGACTCCGTCGTCGGACAGGTAAAAATTGTGAATTTACAATGTGCGTACTTAGTGAGCTTTGATTGTAGTGTAGTAGTTTTAGCATTTGTTATTTACTAGTTAATGTGATGACTCAGGTAGTTGATTTAGTTAGTGATGTAGTGAGATATATATGTAGATAGATAGAAATATAGATACATAGGTACATAGATATAGTTAGATAGCTACTTAGATAGGTAGTTATATATTTAGTTAACTAAATAGGATCTAGCTATTTAGTGAGTATATTGTATCTATGTATGTAGTTATTATCTTATTTTCTTAGTTTGTAGTTAGAAAGTACTCGTTAGGTATCATCTATCGTCTAATTTGGACTAAAGGACATGTGTTTCGTTACGTGTTTGAAATAGATGGACAACCTAGTGACTATTTATCATGGAGGCACCGTTGAAAACGATCGCTATGGACATGTTGAGTTTGTTGACATACAAAGTGTGTCCTGTGCTATTCAATGAGAAGCCATCGTTGCGAAAAATCCGACTAATATATACCGAATTGATGCGAAAAAAACTAGATCTACGGATCAAATCAAAGTTTCCAAGGTGCAATATGTTGATTCGTGAGGTAGGGCGAAGTGGGGAGAGAAAAAACCCGAGAAGGAGGAGAAAGAAGAGGAAGAAGGCTCGGGCATGAATGTTGGGGCCGGGGTTAAAACACTACCTCGGCGCCATAGATCATGGCGCCGAGCTCGGCGACAAGATCTACGCCAGGATCTATGGCGCCGAGGTGCCTGCCAAGTCACCGCCACGTCTGCGTCAAGCCCAAGACCTCAGCACCAACAACGATGGCGCCGAGCTAAGGGTCTATATTTTGAAATCTTACCTCCAGGGACATATTTGTGAAATTTTTTTCAAAAAATAGCTAAAAAATAAAAATTTCGGGTGCTTTAACCACCACAATGGCAAAGTTTATGCCAATGTGCGAGTCAGGTGACGAGGACATGACACCTAGCGATACGACCATTGAATGTAAGTTGAGCTCATTTCTATATTTGCAAAATAATATCAATAAGAATTTGTTGCTACCTAATGTCAGTACTTTCGATGTGCATAGAAACAAAGGTGATGATAATATGCACTTTGGAAAGACACTCTACAACGAGTCACATAGTTAAGTTGCACCTCGCTATAGTTCCCACCGGATAATATGACACCCATGTGGTTACTTGGATAATAATGTGCACTTTAGTATTAGTATTATTAGTATTATATATGTTACAGTTATATATAGGAAAAAATCGCATTATCTCCCTTAATTTTGTGAAAGTTCGCTTTTCCTCCCTGAACTCCAAAATCGGGTAAAACACCTCCCTCAACTTTTAAAATCGTTCATCTTACCTCCCTGGCCCGGTTATAAGCGGTTTTGTCTTTTTCTTTTTTATTTATTTCGGCTGAATCTTTGAAACATCATAGTAAATCACAGAAAATTCATAAAATGGGAAGTCCAATTTTGTTGGACTCCACATGAGTAGATCTACATAGTGAACATATATATATGGTATGCTTTAGTATAAAGTTTTTGCTATAGCTTTAGATCTATCATTTTCTGTAATTAAATAAAATAATTCATAGCTATATTTTTTATGGTCTAATTGTGGTGAAATTTTTATGATGGGCTAATTAATGTATGCTTAAACTGTAGTAAAAATTTTATACTCATTGGATCATGTATAACTTAGTTATAGATTTTATTTAGGTTTATGCTTGTTAAATATAAATAAATCTATAACTAAGCTATACATGATTTAATGAGTATGAAATTTTTATGCAGTTCAATCATACAATAATTAGTCCATCATAAAAATTTCATCACAATTGGATCATAGAACTGCAACTATGAATTATTCCAATTAATTACAGAAAAACATAGATCTAAAGCCACAACAAAAACTTTATACTAAAATATAACATATTATACACAGATCTACTCACGTGGAGTCCAACAAAATTTGATTTTTCATTTTATGATTTTTCTGTGATTTATTATGATTTTTCAAAGATTCAGCCGAAATAAATAAAAAAGAAAAAGACAAAACCGTCTTCAAAATTGCTTATAACAGGATCAGGAAGGTAAGATAAACGGTTTTAAAAGTTGAGGGAGGTGTTTTGTCCGGTTTTAGAGTTCAGGGAGAAAAAATGGACTTTCACGAAAATTGAGGGAGGTAATGTGAATTTTTTCCTTATATATACTACTCTCTCCGTAAAAAAAAACATAATTATAGCTCTGAATCTAAACAGGACGTGTGTGCAGATTTAGAGCTAAAATTGTGTGTTTTTTTTATTTAGGGAGTACGTTTTAGTATCATATGAAAAGCTTACGTCCTTGTCGAAAGAAGGGAAGCCCAATCATAATTTGGCAACAAATGGGCCAGGACGGCGAGAACTGGGGCCCATTAGGGTTTACATCCATAATCGGCACCTATAAACGCTCCTCTCACGCCCACGGCCGCCGCCTTCACCCGCCGCCGCCTCCTCTCGTCATCTTCGTCCCCTTAGGCTAGGTTAGGCTAGGGTTTCGACGAGCTCGCGGAAATGGTGGCCTTCAGGGTGAGTCTTTTTTCGCTCGCTCCCTCCGACTGCGATGATTAGAATTTGATCCATGGGCTTGATTTGCCCCCTGTTCTCGCACCTGTGCAGTTCCATCAGTACCAGGTGGTGGGGCGCGCGCTGCCGACGCCCGGCGACGAGCACCCCAAGATCTACCGCATGAAGCTCTGGGCCACCAACGAGGTCCGCGCCAAGAGCAAGTTCTGGTGAGCTGCCATATACATCTGTGCTTCCTTCAGGTTTCCTTGTTGAAGGATTTTGTTCAGTTTCGATGCGGGTCGTCGATTAATGTACGGCTGTTGTGTGAGCGCAGGTACTTCCTGAGGAAGTTGAAGAAGGTTAAGAAGAGCAACGGCCAGGTCCTTGCCATCAACGAGGTACGTCTGCTTCTCCGATAGGGCACTTTTGTTTAGAACATTGGGCTGCTACATGTGAACCTTGCCATCCTTTAGCTGCTTGTTTAGTGCCTTGCGATTGCCACTATGTGCCGGCTGCCCAACCTTATTTGTGTCAATACCCATTATTGATGATAGTATGAGCGATTTATATATATAAATGAGTCTGAGCGTGTTGAAGACAGAGTGTTTTGTTATATACTCTTTGGGATTGGCAGACAAGTTCTTTCACCAAATGTTTGGTCTGGTTGTGTTTTATCTACCATCATTTAGTTGTGTATTGTTGCTATTTGTTTTTCTGATCATTGCCTTTACATAAAGAACTGTTTGTCTATTTGCAACAATCAATTTTAAATTATGTCGGGATATCAGAAAATGAGTTTGTTTTCCTTTATTACTTCCAGTTTTGCTGTCTTCCTATGTTGCTCATATCTGACCTTTGTGACTCTCCTGCACTGTCATAATGTCATGGTTGTGTAGTGGAATTGTCCTAGATGAATGATGCTGGTCCCTTGTCCTTGGAGCTGAATCTTATTATTTTTTTCCTTTGACTCAATAGTAGTTCACATTTGAAAGAATCCTTTGTGTTGTGTCAGTCGCTGAAGTTCTGTATGCTTTGTCAGATCTTCGAGCGTAACCCAACGACGATCAAGAACTATGGCATCTGGCTGCGCTACCAGAGCAGAACCGGCTACCACAACATGTACAAGGAGTACCGTGACACAACCCTGAATGGCGCTGTGGAGCAGATGTACAATGAGATGGCTTCTCGCCACCGTGTGAGGTCCCCCTGCATCCAGATCATCAAGACCGCGACCGTGCACTTCAAGCTGTGCAAGAGGGACAACACCAAGCAGTTCCACAACAGTGAGATCAAGTTCCCACTCGTGTACCGCAAGGTCAGGCCGCCGACCAGGAAGCTGAAGACCACGTTCAAGGCTTCGAGGCCGAACCTGTTCATGTGATTTAGCTGTGGTCAGTGTATGTGATGGTAAGAGTCGTAAGTGTTCCATTTTAAGTTTTGACTTGCTAAGACCTCCCGCCGACCAGGAAGCTGAAGACCACGTTCAAGGCTTCGAGGCCGAACCTGTTCATGTGATTTAGCTGTGGTCAGTGTATGTGATGGTAAGAGTCGTAAGTGTTCCGTTTTAAGTTTTGACTTGCTAAGACCTCAGTGGTTTGATGATTCAACTCGTTTTGAAACGTGCTTGGTGAACCATTTGTGCTTCGACGTGTTGCGAGTTGTTCGCACTCGGCACACTTGGAAGTGGTAATGTTGATCTATTTGGAGTGTGATTTATTTCCTTACCTCAGTCATCGCTTCTCCGTTACTGAATGAACGAATGGTGAAGTCTCACGGAAGAAGTTCCAAGTTTCGTGAGGCCCATGGAAGTCGTAACTGTAAGGTGAGCACTGGCTGGATTCCACGGTAGATAGCACCGGGCGCGGGCAGTGTTCATCTAAGCCATCGTTTACGCGCGTGTAAATCATAACTGTCGCGTGTAAATCTTAAGCTGTGAATGTACGTGTCGTCAATGCTCTATAAACAGTGAATTAAGCAAGAAAAAAATAGTCGCTTGAAACAGTAAAAAATTAAACAGTGTGTTTAAATGTGATCTAGACACATTTAGACTCTAGTTGGGACGTTTAAACTATAGTCTTTGGTGATAGAAAACGACTTTATAAACTATTTGATATTTGTTAACAATTAATCATTTAACTATGCGAGAGTTACATGTTTATTATCTATGCCAATGTGTCTGTCTAATTGTTTATGTTTTATTGTGTAACTGTGTTAAAAAAAAACAGTACTCTTTCTATCCACAAAAGAATATATTCCCACTTTTCGAGTAGTCAAACAATTTGAAATCTCATCGAAGTTATATAAAAAATACTAATATACAAAATAAGTATCATTAAATTAATTACAAAATATATTTTTCATAGTAAATCTAGTTAGAGACGTAAATGTTAGTACTATGAGTTCTTCAGCTGATGGTTTCTGCGGCTAATAAGCCGACTGAAGCTGATTTGTTGTGAGACAAAAATATTGTACTATGGCTGATAAGTCAGGCTGATGTCAAGCGAATAGGGCGTCAGTGTCAATTTGGTTAAAGTTAAGTTAGTTTGATTGACAGATTTTATAGTTGTATCCTTTTCTGGATGGATGTACGAAGCATGAAATTAAAACCATTGATTTGTCTAGTTTATCGTCTCCTCTAACTAAACGCTATATGGAAAGTGAGCAACTATCTAACGTTTAGCGTGTAGATAGAGTAGAAAAAAACACACTATCTACCTTTGACACAACCGCTGCCAACAGGAGGGGAGCGTAGTGGCGGCGAAACTAGACTTCCCCACTCCTTGCGCCATGCGTACTTGGTACTTCTGTAGTGTTAGGTGTTGTGTTGTTGCTGCTACATGGAGAAGATGAACATGCGCCATCTGAAGAGTCCACTAGTTCAAGATTGAAGGGGTATATAACGAATGGACTAAATGAGTTTTGTCTCTCATTCCTCTATCAACGAATGCAGTCTTGGTCCCACTACTGGCTGCACAAACATATGTTTGGATTGAAGCCTGCCAAGGTGACGAGGCAAGCGATTCTTACCCTTGATATCCAAAATAGAACGCCTAGAAGCCATGTCTAGCCCAGGCAACTTCTTCAAGCATCAAACAAACATGCCCTCTAGAGCAGAGAATGGTCATGGCTTTTGGGACGTCAGGCAAAATATACAGTGGAGACCAAATCTTCGGTGAAAACACAAAAACTAATTCAAAAAAGTGTATCTCTTTAACTTAAAATTTTTAAAATTTGGCACATCTATAGTTCATCTAAATATGTACTCACACGGGACTTTAAGATGCAAAAATCATTTTTAAAAATTCATACAAAAATGAAAAATAACTGTCATTTTCGTAAGAATTTTCAAAATTAAATTTGCATTTCAACTTCTTCATGTGAGTATACATATGGATGCAATACATGTGCTAAGTTTCATTTTTTTCAAGTTACAAAAATGCATTTTTTAAATTAGTTTTCATGTTTAAAAAATGTTCCGTCATATATTTCCGTGTCTATTCGCACGCTGGCCAGCAGGAACAAAGGGTTTTCCAGGCAATATGTTTGATTAGCTGAACGATACATGCAAGTTTTTATTTATTTATTATTTTGAGGGACGAGGGATGTGACAACAGTTAAATAAGCCAGAAGAACGCCCCATGCGATGATGCGAAAATCGTTGGTAAAATTATACTACTTATATTTACTAATATAATTGAATAAATATCTAATACATGTTAGCGGATGATTTTAGCACTCTGATGTGGACAACTAACTATATGTTAGTAAATGATGTGGTTTGCTAATGTGAATAGCTTGAATGAAGACATAATATCATATGTTAGTGAATGCTGATGTGGACACTTTACATGACGAGATAGTTGAATATGCTAGTGAAATATTGTAGTGGATGCTAATATGGATATTTTGCATGGCAAGATAAATTGCTAGCGGGATTTATCTTTGTAAGAGATATGCTGCGTTATTTGGTAAGATAAATTTGAAAACCCCTCACAGCGTTCATGGATTTTCTTCACGACAAATCAGTAGGAACAATATTTTTTCAAGTTAAGAAGCGGGTCATAGATAAATTATCTCTTATATTTTTAAAAATAAAAAATAAATAGTTAACAGTGGCATTAGCAACACTTGCCAGTTAATCTTGTTATAACAAATACTCCTACTAATTAACAATGAAACTGTTAATTGACTAAAACCGGTTCCATCTAATTGTGCATTTATCAACACACTAACATTCATTAACCATAATCTAATAAAAATACAGATTAGTAATTCAAAATGTTATTTCTCAATTAAAAAGTTAGCACACGGGGTCTCCCAAACGGGGCCCCGGAGCAGAAAATTAACCGCGCCACTTTCTTCGTCCAGCTAACGGGTCTACGCATCCTCGATCCCAGAAATCCAAAATGTCACTGGTGAACGACACGTGCTCTCGCTGTAGAGTTCTGTGACCGGCAATTTCTATGGACATCTATTCACACTGAGGTTAAGTCTTCATACATACAACAGAGCAAAAAAACAAATAAAAGGCCGATCTGTTCAAAACATCAAGGTGCACATCCGGGCCTACAACACAATCACGTAGATCAATATGCTCCTTGAAAAGATAGCCGATCCCGCAATGTGTCAAAAATGGAGGCGGCAGCACTGCTCTGTGCAAGTGTAATCTTTAGGCGGCCAAATAGCTCATCACTATCTTTAGCTTGTGAGGCTGCCTCTTCAGCTTCCCTTGCCATGCCCATTCGAGCATATGCCTACACAAACAATCACCACGTTGTTACTGGTTCTCAGCTCCATTTTCTGAAATCGTGGTTATAAAAAAACATTTGGTTTGATCTATCAAGTACTAAGAGACTGTGTGTTGCTTATTGGGCATCATCCATTTCATTTATCTCGAATCAAAATTTTATCATAGAAGTCCCCGTGCGGTATGTATCCTGCACGTGATCTATGTTGTACTGCAATCTATCAATATCAATGTTGCTGAACAGTTTTGCATTCTCGTAGGCATATTCTACTTAGGTTTTTACATAGAACAGGCAAGCATGGAGTTCTACTTCCACATAGTACTACCAAGTAGCAACCAAATACTCCCTTTATTCCAAATTATAAGATGTTTTGGCTTTTCTAGATACATTGCTTTTATCCCTCCTTCCCTTAGCAGCAATGTCTGCCAACCAAGGTCTAATGAAACATGATAGGGGTGGGAGGGGAGTTTGTATCAACTTAATTAAAACATACCTCAGATCTTTCACGAGGATCTGTTAACTTTGGAATATATTTGACAGCTTCATTTTTTTGACCAGCATCAATGCATGCTTCAACAAAAGGTTTATAACCTGTACATTGAAATAGAGACATAATACTTCACAATATTATCATCAATTTATCATACTAACAAGGCATCGATGACGTGAACGTATTATTATAATGAAACATGATATCCTTAAAATCCAAATTTAGCCAATGAAGATAACCCAATGCTGAGAACTGAGAAGTTTGCGTTTACATCATTGCTGAAGGGTTCAGATCAGGTTTCAACTAATCAACTTTTAAGCAGAAGGAAAAAAAATTTATAGTGGGCACACAAATGCTACTTTCCCAGGATAAGAAAATCTTTAGTGTAGAGTAAAGATTAACAAAGCTCGCTCACATAGTAGAAGCATGCATTTAAATATGCATTCAATATAAACTCAACTTTTCATGTAACGAATTCATATCTACAAACTCACCTCCTGGTGGCCTTTTCTCTCTTGAAAATTTTTCCAAAGCATCCCAGTTTCCAACTGTGGCTAAAGCGCATGTTTTAAGCCAGTACCACCTCTTATCAGGAACCTGTGCAGAAACAGGACCATCAGAAAGACTAAAGTACATTATTAATTGAACAGGTCCACATGTTTCGAGGCCATTTGAATACCTTGAACTCAGACTTCACTCTGAGTGCAGCTCGCTCGTTTCCCATTGCAATACAGGTTTTGATTGTATCACTAACACTAGAACCCACAAATATTGGCTGCTTTGTGGAAACTTCAAGTTCATGCTGTGATCTGGAATGAAGAAACAGAGTTACTAAGAGCAGCCATAGCATAGCGAGGTTTGAAACATCATTTCACTGACATATCACCAATGCTTCAACTTTATTTTCACAGCAGCGTTTACGCTTCATTCATGAGACCCACCAGGTTAACAAAAGGGTACCCTTAAAAAAAAGGAAAGACCACAACTGCTGCCTGACACATGCATGTTTTTCTCCCCGTTCACGAGCAGGTACGACAGCAACGAATCATTCTTATTTACTTGGGATTGGTGAATGTAGAGGCATCAGACTAGCATGTTTCATCCAAGCATCGTTGTTTCGCATGCTGTGGGTGCTCTAACACA